GAAGAACAATTGCCTGGTAATGAAATCTTGGGGAACACTGACTTTAAAGGAGTTCATGCAAGAATAGGAGCCATTCAGAGAAAATGCAGGAGGCAGATCAAAGCTGTAAAAGGAAAACCAGAGGGATGTGAGGTCCCAGATGTCAGCTCAGTAGAGTGTGGCTGGGGGAGTAATCAAGACAGCAGAGAGATCCCAAAAGCCTATTATACGAGGCAGTTAGCTGGTCATTGGGGACCTTGGGAGAGCAATATCCACAGAGTGCAAGCTAGGGTGAGAACGGAGGGTAGAGGCTGCAGATGTGGACCCTGTGAGGCTAACACTGTGCCTAGCCACGGCCCTGAAACTTCGCTTTGTGAAAGCATCCTGACATCAGCTTGCTCTTTAGTCCGTTATCTCTGTCCAGGAAGGTGAAAGGAAGCATGCTCAGATTATGCAATATGCCTTGAGCAATATAAGGGGACCTCTACCTATGGAGTCAGTGAATAAAATGAAGACCTTCTCCAAAGTCTTCAGAAATTCCTCATGCTTACCGTTGCTGACATCATTGTTTGATTTGTCAGCAGGGCTCAGCTTGCTGTGCATTACATGTCCTTGTTAGCACGCATGCGATGCTATGGCAGTGGGCCTCACACCTGTCTTCTACACTGTACTCACCCTGCAGACTTACCCATGTGTGGCTTGTCCTTCAGGACCAATACTTAGTTTTAATGAAAATGTTAAGATTTTGAGAACAGCTTCACATTAAACTTCCATTTCGCTATTTTAAACAGTAGAGTCCGGTCTTAAATATTTAACAGGTGGTTGCATCCTTCCAACAATTTGATGTCTCCTTCCCCAGCCTACTTTTCACTCCAGAGACTTCAGCTTTCAGTCTGCTCATTTCCTTGATGCACTTATACTTGCCTCCCATTTCTCTGAGACTGAGAACCCTTTGCTCCTCCTTTTGTCTCCTCCATCTGCCACCTGTGGCTTTACCTCCTTCCCTGTCTAATGCAGGCCCCGTGGTTCATTACTTTAACTCTCTTTCCATCTTGCCATTCTGACTGACCTACCTAGTGAAGCCCCTAACCCTGGCTCATCCACAGTCTGCAGTCTCTAGCCGCTGCTGAGCATAGAGTGTTACCAACAAGTCCTCATTATATATCCCTATGCAGCTTGTGGAGTTTTCCCACAACAGATACCTCAAGTATCTCCATTTTTCTAACCCACTCATCTGTACATGTTATGTGGTCAATAAGTGTTGACGAATTCTGAAACTAAGCAAAAACTTTTTTAAAGGCAGTGTGTTCAAGTGTGTGCATTTTAGGGGACATTCACAGTTTGATTTAGAACATTACTAAAAACCTTTTATTGTCACTTTAAATTGATTATCTCTATAAAGCTGTGTTTTTTACAAAAGGAAATATTCAAATCTAGAATTGAAAAAAAATAAAATAAACAAGAAAAAAAAGGAAGTTGGAGAGCCCAGGGAATTTCTAGGCAGGTATGTTCTAGTGAAACCACCATTGGCCGTCATCTCTGGGCACCAGACACCCAAGCTCACACTACCAACTGACCTGGATTCTCAACATTGCCCCTCAAAGTGCTGCCATCAGTTTCTATGGAAATTATGTAGAAATGCCACCAGCTATGTCGGAACGTATTTGCATCACCAGCTTCCAAGTAAAGAATGGAATGGGTGCTTCTGATAGGTGCTCTAGTAGGGGTGTCGAACTCAATCAGAGAAGGGGCCAAAATCTAAAATCCAGCCTGAATCGCGGGCCGAATGGTTTACTGAACAGTCATAAACTGTCATTGTGATGGAAACGCAGCTGAGTGCAGTGATGACAGCGCGGTGCGGGCCACATTGCAAGGCCTGGCGGGGCGGATTTGGCCCGCGGGCCTTGTGTTTGACACATGTGCTCTAGAGTCTAGCTGCAAGGGAGGCTGGAAAAGTATTTTGTATTTTCAGCATGTATAATAGGAGAGGACTATGCCTCATTAGCTGGGAAGGGATTTTAGATTACCCCTTTGTTTTCATTTTATCGATATATTGGGACTACAACTCAAATTCCTGTAAGACAGTTTGATTTCTAAGCAAGCTCATTGAGATACTAAAAAAGATCAAGATTATAGGTTTGATTTCCATTACTGGTTTTATGATGCTACCTCTCTTCTTTAACCATATTCAGTAGTCTAATAAATCATTTCTCTGATACCAAGGAAAATTGGGTGTTAAGAATCTATTGATTATTATTTGCAAAACCATCCTGGCCTTGGTATGGGGCGGGGGGGGGGAGGGGTAGAGATTCAGATATAGACCTTGTTGATGTATGCTTAGTCTTCAGTAAAATGCTAGAGTATGCAAGTAACTGTAATAAACAGTCTAAGGTAACTGGATAAATTTTGTCACTGAAGTTTATCATTTTATCTTCTCTTCAATTTTTAAAACTGTATGAAATAGATGAAAAGGCAGTTATTCCAATAATTAATGGCAAGAATCCAAACACTTTAGGATGTCTTCCTGAGCATAATAATGTGTTAAAAATCATGATAGATTAATGAGTCTTGAGTTTTCTTCCTGAGGATGCAGACATATCTAGACTGTCATCTCTTCAGTTCTCTTTAATTAACTGATGGTTTTAAACTTTGACTAATTGCCCTTTCCAGGGGGCGGAGGGTGAGATGGAGTGTTAAAACCAGTCTTGAGAGATGCAGAACACCATTCAAGCTGCTAGTGTGTTGTTTTGATGAAAGAGAAGTAAATACAATTCTAATAACTGATAAAACTTTTACTCTATTCTTCACACCAAATAAAGTACATTTTATCATTAATATAGAATGAATTATTTGGCATTAAAACTAAAATAACCACCTTATATCCCATAATGTAATGGCACTAAATAGCTAAACGAACAGTTTAAATTCTGGTTCTGCTGCTTAATTGCCATTGGCCTTGGAAGAATCACTTTGCTTTTGTTCGCCTCAGTTTCTTCATTTGAAAAGAAATAAATAGTATCTATTTAAATGAATTTTTGGTCTTTTAAGACCTTGAAATTTTTTGATACATACAAGCCAGTTCTTTTGTAGAATGTTCTTCAATTTGAGTTTGTTTAGACTCAGGTGTTGAATTTTTTGTAGGAATGTCGTAGATATACTGTGTTTGTCCCATTACTGGGCTGTTGATCATGTGGCTAAGATGGGTTCTGCCATATAGTTACCCCTTCTCCCCCATGTAATTAATCTATGTAAAGGGAGATACGGTTAGACTGTGCACATATTTCTGTTACTCATAAATCTTTACCCATTAGTTTAATACCCATTGATTATTGTTGTTATGGTGATTTCTGATTCTATCATTTCTTATACAGTTATTAGTTGGCATTCTATGGACTTTTCCTTCTCTCCCATTTACAGACAGTCCTCGGATTACGTCCAACTCGATGTACTTTGTTTCATGGTTACATTGCCATCTCCCTTTTACAGTATTTATATTTAAAAAAGTTCTGCCCTAGCTGGTTTGATTCAATGGCCAGGAGTGTCTGCCTGTGGACTAAAAGGTCCCATGTTCGTTTCTAGGCAAGGGCACATGCCTGGGTTGCTGGTTTGATTCCCAGTAGGGGATGTGCAGGAGGCAGCCAGTCAATGATTCTCTCTCATCATTGATGCTCTCTCTCTCTCTCTCTCCCTCTCCCTTCCTCTCTGAAATCAATAAAGATACATCATTTTGATGTATGTACATATGTGTTTTATGTTTTTTATTTATTTACCACAAATAAAGGTCAGGAATTGTTATCTTTATTTTAAAACTTTTTGACTGTTTCACTTCTTTACATGTGTGCTCCATGTGAGTGACATAGGTGTTTATGTAGATGGGTTCTGACTTATGGCGAAAAATCGTGTTACGACATGCCATAGAAATGGATCTCCGACGTAACCTGAGGACCTACTGTGTTTGTAATACTACTTATTCATAGATTCTTACTTACTCATTGGGTTACAATCTAATCATTGGGTTAAATAAGAACCATATATTGATAATTACTCCATAATTTGTATACAAAACAAGATAGTTAAAAAGTAATGATGTGGGGTCATATAAATCAAAATTATTAGGTACAGAAGAGCCTGCTGAATTTTATAACTCTTGCTAGACATAGACATTTGTAATAACTTTAATTTTCATAGCTTTAGATTTATAGTGAAATAGGACGTTGTTTTGGTTTGATAAACACTAATAGTATTTTCAACCATATTACCAGTCTCGAGTCATGTCTCAATTGAGATCCAGATTCCTGACCGATTTGGAATACATGGCTCTTGTTGGCATTTGGGGAGTGAGGAATTTGTTTCTAAGTGCAGCATTTAATTCTTTCTGCATTATTAAAATTCCCATACCTTTTCCTCTCTTTAAAAATACATTGTTTTTAGCTTCACCTCTGTGTAAAGAAGAAATCATGAGAATCTAAGCACTTAGCTAACAAGGTCTTAAAACCACCAAATACTGTGACCAAGAGATGCTTCACCATATGTTGGGAGATGGGTATAGATAATACCCGGACCCAGACATTCCCAGGAAGTGTGAATGAGGATTCCTGAATAGATATTTTGCCATTTCCTTAATTTTTACAATTTAGCATATTCCAGTCTTAACTAGACCATCATGCTTTGTAGATAGAGGAAGAGAAATGACGCAGGTTATCTCCCTAGCTACTAACTCTTCAGGCTTTCTGAACTGGCTTGAACCCTAGAGGTTACGTCTGAGAACTAAACGTCATGTCACCCAAGGATACCACGCAGGTTTGTTCATTGGTGTGTTACTAGGTTAACATACGGGCTTCCTAATTAAAATATTGATATGTTGGAGAATATTATTACGTGGAGGGATGTACTAACCATGTAGCATGTTGGGATGGTGTCGGGTGACTGTCATGATTTCCACTGCTACAGTTATAAAAAAAGGAGAATAAAGTCGGTTCTTTCTGTTGGGAAAGAAGATTTCATGTTATCTGTATTTGCAGGCTTTCTGGCTCACATGCTGGAGGAATCCTTGCTGCGGGGGTGTTTTCATTCTCTCGTCTAACATGGCAGTGGTCCATCTCGGCGGAGGTTTTTAGCTTGAACAATCTGTTTGTGGGGCTGCTTATGGCTCTTACTGTACATTTTGAGGAGGCAGCAACCGCAAAAGAAAGATCAAAGGTAACCTATTTTGAGCACAGTGAAATCACTTTGTGTTTTTATTTTTAGATAGATGCCATGTTTCTTTTAAACTTTGGTTTAGATATTGTTTACTTATCCTGATTACTGTCAAAGTAATGTAGGCATGTGGAGAGAGAAAATATTCTCAGGTCTTTTACTGTGGACCATGAGAGTCTTTCTAAAAGATGGAATTTCCCCAGTCCCCCCACCACCCCCCGTCCATGGAGTTCAAAAGTTTTTTGGAGAAGGAGGGGATTCTGAAATTCCCTTTGAGTCCTATGGGAAAGATAGGCTTATTGGTTAATTCCACCATCGTGTGTGTGTGTGTGTGTGTGTGTGTGTGTGTGTGTGTGCATGTGCGCAAGACAAAGACATCCGTAATATGCCAAGCTCTAGATTGATCACTTTAAATTATATACCATTATGGTACAGTGACTTATTCCCCAATTCCAAAAAAAGGGATCAAATTTGTACTTCTTTAAAAATTTAAATTCTTGATTGTTGAAAGTATTACATATGTCTCCTTTTTTCCCTGTTGACCTCTCCCCAAATTTGTACTTTTTAAGAGGAGAGCACCAAATGTAGGAATGATGTAGTTCAGAAGAGATTACAATGAATTCTAAGGTAGGCACTATCATCAAGATAATTTGAAGCTCGAAGGAAGCCTGTCTCCTTAGAACTTACAGTCTACACATTGGAAAATACCAAATCATCTCTGATAGGCAGAATTGTGTTGTTAGGGAATATAGAACCAAAAAACCATTGTGGTTATCTGTGGTTTCCGTAAACAGATCTGTGATGATGCTATTAGAGTTTTTTGTTGTTTAAGATAAACTTTTTTCTGAATCTGAACATAATGCATTAAAAAAAAAAGTAATTACACTATAATAATTACTTTTCATTTATTTCATTTATTTAATTTAATGGGGGGAAAAAGTAAAGCAAATAATTGCTGAATTTTAGTTACAGATTTTACTCAAATAAGAATTATATATCTGATTACTGTTAGGACTTATATCTAGTCCACATACTGGACTTTTTGAAATTTAGTTTGAAAAAAGTTATTTAAGGTCAAACTGCAATGCTTTGATGAGAATGAAAAATATTAATAAAAATAGTGGTAATAAATATTAATGACTGGTAAAAAAATGACTTCTTGTGTCTAAGCAATTGGTTTTTAATCTGACCTGTGTTATGCCTAGTTTTAGTATAAAGAATAGCTTTTTACTATTGTGCTTACTTAGCGTTTTAGGTGAATATTTAACTTGTTTTTTGTTTTCGTTTTATTTTCAGATAGCTAAAATTGGTGCTTTCTGCTGTGGCCTTAGCGTATGTAATCAGCACACAATCGTACTCTATGTTTTGTGCATAATACCATGGATTCTCTTTCGACTTTTCAACGAGAAGGTAGGTTTTGACTTTTGTAAAAATTAAAGTTCATAATATTTTATTTAGGCCCAATATAACATATGCCACCGTGACTTTACTTTTTTTTTTTTTTTTTTTTTTTTTTTTTTTTTTTTTTTTTTTTTAGTTTTATATGTTGTTTAAATTACCTTAAGTCCTAACAACATTGAAGAAACAGGGTTTTTGACAAAAATTCTGCAGTATTGATTACAGTGGCATCTGGCCTATTTCATAATTTTCTTATGGATTCTGAATGGTTGGAATCTCTGCTCAGGCAGCAGGAATGCAGTTTGCCAAGATCTGAGCACTGGTTGCTTTGTCAGCCCGGCTTCCCTTCTCCACCTGTATCTGGTCCTAAGTGGTTGAGCCCTGCAAATGCCCCCAGTGGTTCCCATGAGGTGAGACCCCAGTGAGCTTCCTGGAAAGCGTCCCACAATGCTGGAGGAGCTGGATGTCCACTGGGACTATTTCCCCCTGGGAAACTGCAGCCCCAGGGTGTCCTCTCCATGCAGTGTGAGCTGGCCCGCCGGAGGGATGGTGCTTCCAATGCAGTCCTTCTCAGTCGCTGTGTTCCCGGGACACAGATTCGGGTACTTGCAAATGGTGTTTTGTCTAGGGATAGCAGTTGGTTGATCTTTTTGTGAGGAAACTGAAGTCAGGAATGATCTATGTTATGGACTTAATGGTGTCACTCTTAGCCAGGTTTCATTGAGAAGTCTGAGAGGTGGGAAGACCAAGTGTTAGATCAATAGTCAGCAAACTCATTAGTCAACAGAGCCAAATATCAACAGTACAACAATTGAAATTTCTTTTGAGAGTCAAAATTTTTAAACTTAAACTTCTTCTAACGCCACTTCTTCAAAATAGACTTGCCCAGACCGTGGTGTTTTGTGGAAGAGCCACACTATAAGGACCAAAGAGCTGCATGTGGCTCGCGAGCCTCAGTTCGCTGACCACGGTGTTAGATGATTGAGAGGGGAGGCCATGCTTTGTGTAAAACATGCAGGACTCGGAGTTGACATGTTAGGAGGCTGGTTTGAGAGCCTCTTGGCCCTGTACTGAAGCCAGATACTGATGAAGGATGACATTTTGGGAAGAATGACTCTTCAAAGGACCTGCCATTTCCATCATTTAAATAACAGAGGCTAGAAAATAAGGTCTACCAGTGGAATGGCAGGGTAGTTGGATTTGAGGCAGAGTAAGAAGTCTTGAGTCACTTGGTTGCAATTCTGGCTGCTCACTTGAATGATCTGGGAAGCTTTGAAAGAGTAAGTATGTGTTTATATGTGTGTACATATAGGGTGTCCCAAAAATGCGAACACACTGAATAATTATAAAGCAGTATTTATTAAAATACATTTCATTTTCAGAATTGAGCTATCAGCTATTAAAGTATATATACATTTTTGGGACACCCTATATATTAATGTATGTATCTGTGTGTGTATAGTGTGTGTGTGTGTGTGTGTGTGTGTGTGTGTGTGTGTGTATATATATATATAGTATGTGTATATATATATACATATAGGGTGAGGCTTATTTTTTAAAAGCTCTCCAGGTGATCTAATGTATGCACAGCTAGGACATGGAACCACTCTCCTGGGCCCTGTGGATAGCTTTCATGTAACTGCCTCCTGTTCTTTCCTGCACAAAAGGAAAATTCTGCAGCAGTTGCATCTTGACATTCTGTAATATGCAGAAACTGCCACAATGCAAGCATTTATTTTCTTTAAGACTACTTTTAAGAATAGCAAAGCACGTTGTTCAGTTAGTTATTTCTTACATTCTTTTCATGCTGTCATTTTTTATGTATCTCATTGCCCCTGTAGGAATAGCAAATGAAATCAGTACTATAATAAAAACACTCCAGAATCAATTAAGAATGTTTATTTGAAAATATTAATATAAGTCAGCTACTTGTTAAACATCTGGTGAATGTGAATCTTGATTCTTATATCCATTATCACATATGAATTTCCCCTTTTTGTAAAGAAAAATTGGCAATTTCCAATGATGATATTTGTAAGAGACTCTCTTTCCCAACCAGTATTTGAATCTTTGTAGTAATACACCAGAATTCTTTTGGGCTTAATCTATATGAGACTTTGTCACTATTATTCTTCATTTTAGAGGTGTGCCAATGAGAAATATATTCTCTATAGAGGCAACCTTGTTATATAGAACAACACATTTGCTTTAGTACTTCATTCTATATGTAAATTGAGGATAGATAGCATTTGGGTGAGCTGGGAGGTTATTTAAAAGCTAGCTTCATTTGTGCCAAATATTTCCATGATATGACCCAAATTCTTGCAGAAAGTTTTATATTATAATGTATAGTCATAAGAGAGTGTATAGCAAAACTCTACTCCTGATGAAGGTGATGAAATGAGTTTGTATTAGGACAATATTTGGGGGCATATCCAAAATCAACTGAACAACCTAATCTCTTCCAATTGAGTTATCTCTGCAATGCTGCATGTCATGACATGGTTTTAATTTTAAAAGATGCAATAAAAATGGTACTTAAGGGTCTTCGCTAATATTATTTGCTTCACTCAGATTTCACCTGCCATGCAAAGGAGTTCAGGCTGATGCAATTTTCTAGTAATCCCTGGCAATCAGAAGGTTTAACATAGTATTCTGTGGCGACTTCATATAAATTGAGAGATCAGAGCTGAGTAAACATAGTTGATGTTTTCCGTGATGTGTTCTTGAAGTTCCAGGACGAATCTTCTAGGATAAACATTGTCATATGACACACTGTGCTCTGATGCAGGAACTCTCCTGGGGCTCTGTGTGGAAGTTGAGCCTGTGTTTCTCTGCTGGTTTGCTGCCCTACATCTATCTTCCTATCTCATCCTACCTCAATCAAGCCCGCTGGACCTGGGGAGACCAGACAACGGTGCTGGGATTTTTGACTCATTTTCTCAGGGAAGAATATGGAACATTCAATCTGGTAAATTTATACTTAAAGCTCTTATAAGGAATAAGTGGCAAAACTTCTGTGTTCTGCCTGGACCTCCATTGAAAAAAAAAACAACAAAAACAATGTTTGTCAATGGCAGTATGTAGAATTTTTATTTCAGTTATTTATGGAACAAAGTTGCCCATTGAAATGTGACCTTTAACATATGTAAGGGGGAAAAATGGAATCCCTTAACCTGATGTTGTACCGTTATATATATTTCCTGAATGTATTTTAGGGTAGCAAGTATTCAAAAGGCTCTGCTGCCAGCACTTGGAAGCATTTCCGTAGTACTGGGTGTCACTTTGGGCTCTTGGTCTGAGATTTAAAATATCTGGAAAAGATTGAAGGAAAAATTAAACTCGAAATTTTTAATTTACTTTGACCCAAACTTTTTTTTATATATATTTGATGAATAGTATTCATATTAGTATTTAGTGTAATGCCTATGTGTAAAGTCTTTATAAAATATAATTTCACTAAGCGTGTAAATTTTACTGTGTCCTAAAGAAGTTCAAAAGTGCTTGTTTTTCTTAAAACGTATTAGGGGAAAACACTGAAGTGGTTACTGTATCAGTTATCTGAAAAATAAAAGTATAAACAGATGGGTTTTTATTTTAATACTAGAGGCCTGGTGCACAAAATTCATGCACAGGGGTGTGTGTCCCTCAGCCCAGCATATACCCTCTCCAATTTGGGACCTCTCCAGTGATGTCCAACCGCCCGTTTAGACCTGATCCTTCTGGATCAGTCAGGCATTCCTCTCACAATCCAGGACTACTGGCACCCAACTGCTCACCTTCCTGCCTTCCTGATTGTCCCTAACTGCTTCTGCCTGCCAGCCTGATCACCCCCTTACTACTCCCCTGCCAGCCTGATTGATGCCAAACTGCTCCCCTGCCAGCCTGACTGCCCCTAACTGCCCCTTCAGGCCTGGTCACCCCTAAATGCCCTCCCCTGTAGGACTGGGTCCCCCCCAACTGCCCTCCCCTGCAGGCTTGATTGTCCCCAACTGTCCTCACCTACTGGCCTGATTGCCTACAACTGTCCTCCCTTGCAGGCCTGGTTTCCCCCACCTGTCCTCCCCTGCTAGCCATCTTGTGTGTGGAAGTGACAGTCAATTTGCATATTACTCTTTTATTAGGATAGATACATACAAAAGTAATAAACCTACATATTTTTAAAAGTTTATGGGAGATGAGGAAGGTCAGGCTGTGTGAGATACCTTATGTACTCATGCAGTTCTATTTCTTAAGTGAATGGTGGATCTATAAATTTGTTTTAAACTTTCACTTAAATATACATTATTCTAGAGACTCAGTGCATGAATTTTTTACAAATTGGTGCATGGATAGTGTCCCTCTGCCCGGCCGGCAATCGGGGCAGATTGGGGCCATCTCTCTGAGTCCTGATCGGGGATGATAGAGGCTGGCTGACGGGAGAGGGGAAGGGGAAGAGAGGCGACGGGAGGGGTGGGGTGGAGGAAGGAACCCCAGGAGGCCCAGGAGGTTGTCTGGTCACGGGAGGTTGGTTGTGGGAGTGCACTATCACCAGGGGGCAACTCCTGTGTTGAGCATCTGCCCCCTGGTGGTGAGTGCAAATCATAGCAACCGTCCACTGGTTGGTTGATGCCTTTAGCTTTTATATATATTTTATAGATATTTAATAATAAAAGCATAATTATTATTTTTTGACTTGAGAATTTGACACTCCTGGTTTACTTATATTGATCATTCCATTAAAATATTGTTTGAGGACCATTCCAGATTTGAAATTTGTATAATTCAAAGGCAATTGTGAAATTATAGACTAACAGATGATAATGAGCTCTAATCAAAGTGCCTCAAAAAAGAGCTTAAAGAGATTCTAAGTGTAAAGACTATTAATTTATTAATGTACTAGACATTTCTGCTGGACTAGTTTGACTGATTTTTAGCCAACTATTATTTCTGAAATTTTTCCTAAACGATATTCATGTTTAATTTCACTGGTTTTGCTTTAAAAATTCAGTAAGGCTCTGAAGTAAAGAATTGGAATGAAGAGAAATGTTGCATTGTATATTTAAAGCGTGTATCTTTTAAATGGAGATAGTTAAATAAGATAGCTTAGCAGAATTTTAGTTTAATGCTTGTGTAAATGAAAACTTTTCTCTCTTATGTTTAGGCTAAATCTGAAATAGGATCCAGTATGTCTGAAATTTTACTGTGAGTATGAAATATTTGTAACTGTTTTAAAATGAATTCTCTATTTGTTCCTTTGAGTGGTTTGAGGGACTTCTGAGTTTCTCTCTTTGTGAAGTGGTATGTCTGTGAGTACTTGTCACCCACGTAGTTGGCAGTTGTTTTGCATATTGTCAAGTATCCTACCATCTCCTTCAGTAAGAGAAAACTGAAAATGAGCAATAAATCCAACAATGAATGCGGCTATTAGGAGACTACATAGAACCTATAAAACTAAATGCTTCAAATGTAGTGTTTCTTTATTTAAAGTTCATGCTTTGTTCTGATTTTGACTATCTTCTTTCTCCCAGACATTTTAAAACATAGTATTTATCAACATGAACAATTATTTTCTTGTTATCTTGAAGTGAGCTATGCTTTTTTAATTCTTTGGAGCTTAGTATATCTAATGTTTCTTAAGACTTTTCCTCTAGTCTAGACTGTCCTTAAGCTCTTTTTCTGAGACACATTTTTTAACATTCAATCTTATTAAAGTCAGCTCAAGCAAATATATTTTATCTATTAGCTTTTGTGAAAAAAAATGGATTAATGTTTGCTTTAAAACTTACACAAATTAAGACAACTTGGAAAATACCCATACAAATTCTGTAATTTTTTTTAATATTTTCAATATGAAATGAGGGAAGAATAGTTTTCTATAACACTCAAGTTATCTCTAATTATTAATTTTCGATTCCAATTATTAATTTGAAAACCATTTGAAAAATATGGGGAGGTTATGGCCAGTTTGGCTTACTTGGTTGGAGCACCATCCCATATCCCAAAAAGAGGGGGGTTCAACTCTGGATCAGGGCATATGCCTAGGTTGTAGGTTTGATCCCTGGTCAGGGTACATGCGGGAGACAATTGATGTTTCTCTCTTATATCGATGTTTCTCTCTCTTTCTCTCTCCCCGCTTCTTCTCTCTAAAAATCAACTTAAAAATTTTTATATAAATTGTCAGGAGAATATTTCAACTCTATATATAAATCAGTTCATAGTTTCTCTTACTTGCTAGCTTTTTTTTCTTTCATCCTTCCTTCTTTTCTTTTTTTTAAAAAGGACACAAAATTATTATGAAAAATTCAGAAAATGCAGTTAAGCAAAAATACGAAAATGCAAATTACTATAATTCTAGCGTGTAGAGGTAACCACTATTATTAACCCATAATGTTTTTATCTATTTTTCCAATATTTTTAACATATTTGTTTTTTTAATGGGCTTATAATATACAGGGGTAGTCAAAAGTATGCTTATAGTTTTTATATGGAAAAATAATAACACAAAAATAAACTTTTGCATGCTAATAAGTATAAATCTACTTTTGCCCACCTCTGTACACACTGATTTATTAGCCTCCTGTTTTTAATTTTGTGCTGTACTTTGAAAACATTTTCCTGCTATCAAATCTTTGATGGTTTTCACAGCTGATTTTAAATATTTCTCTTTATGTCTAAGACTTTTACAGCCCACTCTCCTGTTTTGCTGGGGAGACAGCAAAGAGGCTCAGTTTCCCTTTTAAGGATAAAGACAGCTTTGCCAGTGTCTTGACACTTTTACTTTCTCCTTTTTTGCTCAGCGTCAAAGACTCACTGCCTGCTCTTTTTTTACCTACCTTTCGGGGCTGCTATCACACTCAGGATTACCGGTGTATTTGCTTTAACAAATCTCACATGAACTCCAAAGAACTCTCAAGAGCAACCCTAGACTAGACATCTAACTTTCATAAGTAACATATAAAAGTCATCTGTTAGGTAGTTATAGGCCCCCTTTACATTGAAATAACAACAGTTTGGCTGTACCCCCACGGGGAAAAAAAAAACTGACAAAAGTGATGACCACTTACACTATTTGTTCGGACAAGATTATAATGTAAAAATGGAAGCATAATCCTTATACTCTCTGATTAAGAGAATTTCTAGTGTTTAATTGTTTCAGGTGGACAAGAGTGTTGAGAAAGGGAACTCATAATTAACTTACTAGAAAATCCTTCAAAATGATGGAACCTAATCATCAACCCTTTGCCAGTCGAGCAAATTAAATTCTTTCCCCCACGCATATCTCTAAATTGCAATCCTGTACAAGGAAATTATTGAATCTAACCCTAGGCAGTGACCATGTTTTAGAGCTTACATTTAAGCAACAGATCTCCAAGAATTAATTTTGAGGCTGACTTCATTCCTTTTGAAGAATGGCTTGAAATGGGCCTCATGCTGGAATCAATTTTTTCAAGTGTATTTGAAAATGAGTCAGGATATCTTCCCATAGTTGATGAGTCTCCATTAGTAAAATACACATTGTGTGGTTTCTATAATTATGGCATCACATTTTCTCCAGTAAAATTGCCAGCAGGGAGAAGAAAGTTCTTTGAGATGGAATATAGAATCATTTCTTTTTCAAAAAATGGACACTGCGAGAGCTCAGATGCCACTTGGAAAATGCTTGTTAATTAGTTTATGAGGCAATGGAAGAATTTAGTATAATTATAAGGAAAAATTATGCATTTTTTCAGAGATTCCTTGAACATTTTTTGAAGCAAATATTATAGAAAACAAGGAAACCTTTTTAAGGAAAAAAGTAACCCAGAAATGAATGGTTGGAGATCATTTCTCTTGTCCTTTTTTAAATTCATGATTGGATCTTCAAAAACATGCTTTGAATTAATTTTGTTTTTAATTGCAAAGTACTGGAGGCCAGGAATAAGTTCAGAAACCCATTTCAGATGACTTCTTACAAAGCCAATTAGAAATACAAATTGTTTTTACAATATCAATACAGTATACTAGTATCACAAACACTGAAAATTATTTGTTCTGATGCTATCCCAAATAATATAAATTGATAACCATATGTTACCATTGGAAAAATATCTTAAAACTGTATAACTCTTTCTTGAAGTACTTCTCCCCCGAATTTGAAAGAAAAAAAATAATTTTCAATCTGACTTCATCCCTTAAAATTATTCAATACATAATCCAATGTATTTTACAAAGAATGTTTTATTTGGAATTAACCAAATTTGTTTTCTGTCAACAATAAGTTCGATCATCTTTTACAGTTCTCAAGTAACAAACATGAGGATTGAACTCTCATTCAACATCCAAGCCCTTGCAATTTGGGCTAATCTATGTTTAGTAAGAAGGTGAGTGATATAATTTTTCCCATGTTTATTAATTAAATTAATATTTTTAATATGTCATTGTAGAACATGGCCACTAGTACTTTATATTTCAAATAAATTGCTCTAACCACTTCTATTAAGGCAAATATGTATTATTCATAGTTTCTGTTCTGATTATAAATTAGTGGTTTTGAAAGATTGAGCAGTGTATTATAGTCTAACTAGGCGAGTCGTTTAATGTCTTAAACTTTGGTTTGATACCTTACTCTGCCCATAGCCAATTATTATTGCTTTACAAAAGAAGCAAACAACTATTTGAATTCCTCTAAAGATAAAAGTAACCTCCAATGATTAAAGATAAAAACCTAAAAAAATAGAACTATTAACCACTAATTTCTAACCCATCAAATATTTTTTTATTTAAATGTATATGTACTATGTACATTTATAGTTTTGTTTCCTTAATATCTAACATTATATTGTCAGGATTTCTCTATACTATGGGGTGTCGAACTCAATCAGAGAAGGGACCAAAATCTAAAATCCAGCCTAAATCGCGGGCCGAATGGTTTACTGAACAGTCATAAACTGTCATTGTGATGGAAACGCAGCAGAGTGCAGTGATGACAGCGCGGTGCGGGCCACATTGCAAGGCCTGGCGGGACGGATTTGGCCCACGGGCCTTGTGTTTGACACATGTGTTCTATACCATAAGAATATTTAAAATCATTTAAATGTCTATATAATTAAATATTCTCCTATTAGAGGATCTTTAGAAAGTTTCCAGTTTTTCCACTATTATAAGTAATACCAAAGCATTTTCAGAGATTAAGCTCTATCCACATTTCTAGTTATTGCTTAAAGATTTATTTATACATGTCAAATTACAGGGTCAAAATGTGAATATTTTAAGAATCTTGATATATATTATCAAGTTAACTTTTCTTTAAGACCAATATACATTCTCAAGCAACCGCATTCTCGCCAGTACTATTGCGATTTGTCATTTTATTATTTTGGTGCATGAAATTATCCTTTTGTTTTGCATTTTTAAATTACATTTTAATTTAACAAGATTAATAATTTGTATTTTTTCTGCAAATTTTAACTTTGTATCTTTTGTTGCATATTTCCTAGCTGTCTAGAATATAGAGACAGTGTATTTTATGACTATGTTTTGGTTATCTATTCCAATTCAAATTTGAAACACTGAGATCCTTCTCTAGCCCTACTTAAAAATGGAACGTTCTAGAGTTCCAAATATTTTCCTATAGTTTAAAACTATGTAATAGTAGTATTGGTATTCATGTACACAAATAATTTTGGACCTATTTTAATTTTTTATAGGGATAGACAGAACCCATCATTAGTGTGGCTTTTTACTGGAATGTTTTGCATTTATTCATTGTTCTTTGCTTGGAGGGCAAACTTAGATATTTCAAAACCACTTTTCATGGGTGTGGTAAGTTTTATTTAAATATATCTTTTGACCAGAAAGTTTGTGAAGAATATATCAGTTTGTCTGTCATGAATCTTGTAGAAAAGCAGATCATCTCAGAAATAGTTAAAATTATATGTGCATTATTATAAATCAAAAGTTAAATTATTGAACTAGTAAGGCAAAGGCCTCTTTTTAGGGAAAATGCATTGTTTAATTAACACAATAGTTAAATAGAAAAATAAATGTAAGGTAGATTTGAGTTAGGCATTTTATGTGTGTAATAGATACTGGTACTACTGTATTTCTCCTGGATTTTTTTTCTAAATAGCAAAGAAATATGGGTTTATTTGGGGGCTCTTATCAAAACAGTTTATTATTTCTTATCCCACCTGTCCAGGCCTATGCAAAAGAGCAACCACATTTCTATTTTTCCCTGGCTGTCATTTCTGAGATTCCCCATAGTAGAAACTCTGTAAATATAGACAATTCTTTCTTAACAGCTGAAACAATTTTTTGTATGTTCAAGTGGTCCAATAGATAGTATCTTATTTAGTCACCTGAGTTCAGAATCAGTTGAGAAACAAGATAACAAGCAGTAGAATCACCTTTATCACTGACTAGAGGCCTGGTGGACGAAATTCGTGCATAGGGGAGAGGGGATAGGATCGGGCCTAAACGGGCAGTCTGATATCCCTCTTAAAACCCAGGACTGCTGGCACCCAACTGCTCGCCTGCCTTCCATCCTGATTGTCCTTAACCATTTCTGCCTGCCAGCCTGATCACCCCCTAACAACTCCCCTACCAGCCTGATTGATGCCTAACTGCTCCCCTCCCAGCCTGATTGCCCCTAACTACCCTCCCCTGCAGGCCTGGTCCCCTCTACCCCCAAAACTGCTTTCCCCTGTAGGCCTGGGTCCCCTTCAACTGCCCTCCCCTGCAGGCCTGGTCACCCCTAACTTCCCTCCTCTGCCAGCCTGATCACCCCCAACTTCCCTCCCTTGCAGGCCTGGTTCCTCCTAACTGCCCTCCCCTGCTGGCCTGATTGCTCACAATTGCCCTCCCCAGCTGACCTGATCCCTCCCAACTTTTCCCCACCCCCGCTGGTCATCTTGTGGTGGCCATCTTGTGTCCAAATTGGGCAGCCATCTTGTATGTTGGTGTGATGGTCAATTTGCATATTACTCTTTTATTACATAGGATAATGCCCATGTTGAGGAATGTGGTTTATTCTGTGAGCAAGGGGGATTCCTCATTCTGCATCCACAATAGTAGAAGGCAGACCTACCTAGTCACAGGTTGTGCTGCATAGGCCAGGCCTTCTGCACCCCACTCCACTTCACTGTCCCACTGGTGCCAAAGGGACAGAGTCTGCCACTGGGCAATGCACGTCCAGTCCCAGCTCCCAAATTTCCCAGTCAGCTCAGTCCATACAGTCCCGCAGGAAGAAATAAGTGAGAGGGCAGCGAGTGTTAAACTAATGGCACTTCTGCGCATGGAAGGGAATGTCAGGAGTGAGGCAAATGCCTTTCTCCACCTCTTCCACTTTCCATATTGCAGGAGGTCAACGCCAAGTCCATAGTATCGAAAAGAATGTGTGGGTCCCAAAAGGGAGCTTCACATGTCAAACTGGGAGGAAAGAATGTTTGAAAATTGAAAACTAAAGAAACTTGGAGTTGCATTGGGGAAGTCAGTAAGCAAGACCTGAATGACAGCAGGCATAAGCAATTAGGTGTAAGCAGTATATTTGTAAGATAGGTAAGTACCAGATTGATTGCAGATCAGTCACCTTGTGTGCCTCTTTGCAGGTGGAGCGATTCTGGATGCAGAGCAACGCTGTGGTGGCAGTCCTTGCTGGCATCGGGCTGGCCACACTGGTTTCCGAGAGTAACCGAGCGCTGAACACCAAAGGCCTTCAGTATCTGGAGTGGCTTTCAGCAGCTCTTTTTGTAACTTACCAAATATATTCTAATTACAGGTAGGAAGTGGTTCTTTTTATGACAGCACTCCAGCCAGAGATGTTTGGATTATTTAGATTCTAGAACTTTATTTCATCTTCACCTTCCACCATTTTTCAGAGTGAGACAGCTTGGTCTGAAAGCCATGGTCCTTAAACTTTTGAACCAGAATCTCAGCATGAGTGATATGTAGTTCAGGGCATTGCAAACAGGGTGGTGCATGTAAACCATTTGTGTATTTTCCTCTAAGGAACTCTAGAGAGAGTTAGTAGAGTCTGCAGTATGTGTAAAATTCCATGATGTAAAAAACCACTTAGAGAGTAAAGACATTTGGGCATTGCCGCATGCCCTAAAATAATTCACACTAGGCTTCAAAGATTTCATTTTTTGAGTAATGCCTGGCCCTTACCTAGTTCATACTGTAGAAGTGAATATTAATTATCTATAATAATAAAAGCTTACTATGCTAATTAGACCAGACGACCTTCTGGAGGAAGCCAGGGCGCTGGGGGAAGCCCAGGTTCTGGGTGCCAGAGGGAACCTGGTGCCAGCAGCCAGGGAAAGGAAGGCCTACTCTTGCATGATTTTTGTGCATTAGGCCTCTAGTTTAAAAAAAAAAAAGGTCTAAAACAAGCATGTCAAACTTGTGGCTCATGGGCCACAGATGAATATTTTTGTCCACAATGAATATTTTTGTGGCCCAGCCAGTATAACGGTATGTAAGAAACATTTCAATAAAAACTTCATAACTTAATTTTTACAATATCCTGTTATACATAATTATTAATAACGAACTACAGCATTTGCTAATGACTAATTACTATAATCGTCTTGCATTCATTTCCCTTAATGCGCCTTACACGCAGGTGCACCATTTCTCTCCACTTGTACTAGTAGTGAATATTTTAGCAGCTGATTGCCACATCATTAGTCTTTAAATTACTTGTTTGGTGTGCACAACAAGAAATATTTTGCTCTTGGAGAACAAGAAAAACAGGTTTATTTGCATTACACTTATTAATTTGTGCAGTTATTCAGTGTCTGGTAACTTAATGTTAAAGAAAAATATTATTTTTTATTAAAATGTTCTGTTATTTTATGTTAACGATTACTCATTTATTTCAGCCCTTTGTATTCAGCATGTCTCTATCTAAATAAACCTACGTTTCTATGACAGTTGAAGCTTTTGTTTTTTTTGCTGCCCACACAAACTTAAACCTTGTTTATTTGGCCCATGTTATCCTTAGAGTTTGATATGCTTGGTCTAAAAGCTTCTTTAACCCATATATTAGTATTATATGTATTTTTCAAAATCTTTTAAATAATCATTCTAATGAAAATCTCAGTCTAACCTAAAAGATGTCCAAGTTTTAGGTGATAATTCATTTATTTCCAGCAGTATTGAGTAAACATTACAGAAGTGGAAGAGTCCATGGGAGTTTTGTTATAAGATGATTTGATTGGTATTTTACAAAGTTTAATTTCCTCTGTCTCCTTAACTTGAAAAACCGGTGTTCTTTAGAATTCCTGGGTAGAGCCAGTGTTAGGAAGGCTGCATCACCAGGACACCTGGTGGGATTCCATACCCAACTCCACAGCTCGCTCCGAAGGGCTTGCCAAGCCCACAGTGAGTGTTTACCCAACCTTGCTTTTATCCCAGTCTTCTGGCTCAGGTCTTTGGCAATCCAGGTTCAACACCAGGGATGTCGGCACAGGCTGGGTGGTTTTATTCTGTTTTGATTATTTTATTTGCCCCAGGCCGATGGGATAGGTAGCAACACTGCTGGGTGGTAAATGTGAAGCATCATCCTGCAGAGCAGGGGGTCATAGGAGGCAAGAGTTGCATCCATTACAAAGGCAGGGATAATATTTTGTTTCTGGTAAGGCTTATTTGCTTTGTGACACTAGCCTGCCAATTCAAGTTTCGGCTGTTTCTCAGTATCATTAAATGCAATAGACCTGAGGAGACGAGGAAGGACCTTGCTTGCTCAGTTTTTTGATGCTTTTACTCTTGTAGGCTTTTTCTTATTTTATGGGAAATGCTCAGAATTCATGCCAGTTTTTCTTTGAAGTTAGAACGTTCACTTCATCATTGAAGGGAGTAGTGTTGCTTTTGCTATAATGCTTGGAGAGAAGTAACAACTCAACCCTCTGTTCCTTCCCTCTCTTCTCATGGGCCCCATTCTCTAATGATTGCTTAGTCTGGAGGGAGAGAGAAACACAGGGAGCCTGTGGCTCAAGGTGTAGAGAGTGCCTGGGAAGGCACATGAGCATTTCTTTACATTGTCAGCTGAATCCAGGGTGGTCAGCAAAGCCACGTATTGGAAACACGTTCTGCCAAAAGGCAGAAGTGTTATCAGCTTGACCTTCATTTCAGCCCAGGTGCCAGGGGGTGAGGTTTATTATGTAAATCCAGCCAAGCACCAGGAATGAATAGGAAAACTTCCTGGTATTTGGGGTATAAAATAAACATGCCTCATGGGCTCTGGGTCACTGTCTCTCCATCGGAAGAGGGCAGCGGTCCCACCTGGTCCCAGCTTTTTCCTTCTATCTCTGTGTCTTGTTTCTTTCTTTTATTTTTCTCTCCCCAGCCGCCCCTACTCAGGAACTGGACCCGCTCTCTAGCCGTGCTGGACACAGAAAAGAGAAATATTTACATCAAGGAAGTGGTGCAAAGGGTCACTCTGGCATGCAAGAGTCAGACAAAGGGCATCCCAGTTTATGCTGCAAACTGGCAGATTTCTTTTTGCATTTCTGGGTATTCCTTTGCACTACGTGGAATTAACATGAAATTAACATGAATCAGAAACCTTACTTCTTTTTAGTAAAATTGGACATGATTTTAGGAAAAAGGAAAGGTCTTATTCTTAGCCCTAACTGATTCTTTTTTTATGAAAATGATTATAATTCTAGACGTGAAATAATATATTGATTTTTTTCAATTGCACAATTAGTTCCTTTTTTTCTTCAGATGATAATGTTCACTTTCAAGTATAAGCATGTTGTTGGAAAATATAAATTTGAATACTTTGAAGCAGTAAATATAAATTGTGTGATGGGAAAGGAATGATGTAGGAAATAAGCCCAGTCTTATTAAATCTGAAGCAATATGCTGCTATTTTAATGTGTTTTTTTTATTCTTTTATTTAGCATTTGTGACCAAAAGACCAACTATGTGATTGATAAATTTGCAAAGAACCTTCTAGCCTCTATGCCTCATGATGCAATTATCTTACTCAGAGGAGATTTGCCAGGAAATTCTCTCCGTTATATGCATTATTGTGAGGGACTGAGGCCAGACATTTCATTAGTGGATCAGGAAGTGAGTATATGGAAAATATACTGGGAATATAGTAATTGTAATGATTTAAAAACATGTTTTTTAAAAAAGCTCTATTTTAACAGTGTATGGGTACAGATATCATGATCACTTTTAGAATATGTATCATATTTTTTTTTTTTTCTTAAATAATGGTGTAAGTCCTATGAATTGCCTCTGTGTTATTTAAACTGAGTGTTGAATGTTAAACCACATTTTAAGAATGTGTTTCATGTTGGATTCAAATAATATCCTAGGTCTCTAGTTCACATGACAAACCATGGGAATATTTTATTGTAAATTTATTTTTAAATTGTTCTTTTATATACAAATTAACACTACCCACTGGTCTAGGGATTAGAATAAATTAGGTTGAATATAAAATAAGTCATGCTGCAGGTAAGTAAACATTTCACTCAAAATAGAAATTATTAACCATAATTCTGCTATAGAATTTTTTGTAAACTTAATGATTATATGCAAAATATATGGTCAGAATGGACTTGTGAAACATCCTGGAGCTGAAACTTCTAGAACTGAAGAAATATATTTAAATTATAAGATTTATTATTTAAACTATAAATTCTTAAAAGGAAATAAATCTATCTATTTTTAGAGCAGTCATAGGAAAAGAGAAATTCTTAATCTTAAAAAAATACTATGATTACTTTGGTTGAGAAAATTATTAGACGCATTACTAATTTAACAAATTTTGTTGAGTTAGTGAATAACTAAAACTTTTTTGGAGAAAACTTTATAAACAGATTTGCAAATATAGAGAAACTTACAAATGATACATTTAAAAAAAAACAAAAACAACTATATTTTATTGATTTTTTTTTACAGAGAGGAAGGGAGAGGGACAGAGAGTCAGAAACATCAATGGGAGAGAAACATTGATCAGCTGCCTCCTGCACACCTTCTACTGGGGAAGTGCCCGCAACCAAGGTACATGCCCTTGACTGAAATTGAACCTGGAACCTTTTAGTCTGCAGGTCAACGCTCCATCCAAACCAGTTAAAACACAGATGATACATTTTTATAAGCAGTTTGAATTTATACCTAGTATGCCGATTAATTTTATCTTTAGTCTAGCTTCTGACAAATTATTTATTGATAATACGGTATCACAGTATGGTTTTAAATACTGTTTGAGTTGGCAACTACTGTAGTTGAGAAGTATGGATTTCAATGTTAATGAGACCTAAATTTAAGTCCTCATCACTTCTTGAATATATGACATGGAACTAATGACTTTTTTCTCTCAGAGCCTGTTTCCTTGTTTATAAAATGGAAATGATCATCATATAGACAGAATGCTTTTGAATTTGCAAGAAGCAAAATATCTGACTAAGATAGTTTAAACTATGGAGTTTTTAATTTTACATGACAAGTAGTCTGGAGATAGTTGGTTTTAGGTTTCTGTAAGCAATTCAGTGATGCCCATGTTCTGGGGCAGCTTCTCTGCAGGTACCTTGACCTGATGGATGCCCTCTTCCAAACATCACATCATGAAACCAGGCCACAGACTTCTTCTGGGGCCTGCCCCATCCCCTTTCTCTATTGGGAGTAACATGTATCCCAGAAGCCCCAAGCGGACCTCCATTCGGGCCACACTAACCAGAATTGTCATATGCCCACTCCTAACTTGTCACCAACAAAGGGGAATGACTAGACCCAAGCATATTGCTGCCCTGGTTACCTGATCAAAGTCAGGATTGTGTTCATGAGAAAGAAGAAGGTACTAGCTATTCAGTGGGCATTCAATAGTATCAGATATAATTGTTCTCACATATAAGATTATTATGAGAATTAAATGAGAAACAATGTCATAGCACACCATGGGTATTTAATTAATGTTAATATCCCAAGAACAAACTATTGGGTAATAAAATCAAATTCAATAAGTTTTTATGCCCTAGCTGGTTTGGCTCAGTGGGTAGAACGTCAGCTAGTGGACTGAAGGGTCCCAGGTTTGATTCTGGTCGAGGGCACATGCCCGGGTTGCCAGCTCGATACCCAGTAAGGGGCATGCAGGAGGCAACCAATCAATGATTCTTTTTCATCATTGATGTTTATATCTCTCTCTCCCCTCTCCCTTCCTCTCTGAAATCAATAAAAAAAATAAGTATTTTGTGAATATTTGCCATATACACTTACATTAAAAATACTCATTTTTAATTAAATGACTTAGGTATATAAAGCAAGTAAAACATAAGCATAATTGTTCAAACAATGATATTCAAACTTTAACAAAGTTTTGAAAGTATAAATAGGAGTATTTTTTAAGTTAAATTTTAAAAAATTTTTATTTCAGAGAGGAAGGGAGAGGGAGAGAAAGATAGAAACATCAGTGATGAGAGAGAATCATGGATTAGCTGCCTCCTGCACACCCTCTATTGCGGTTCGAGCTGGCAACCCAGGCATGTGCCCCGACCAGGAATCAAACTGTTTCCTCCAGGTTCATAGGTTGTTCTTCAGCCACTGAGTCATGCTGGCTGGACTAGAAGTATTTTCTTAAAAAAAAAAAAAAAAAAAAAAGAAAACCGATACAAATAAAAATATATCTAAGTATATATTAACTACAGAATTAAGAAAAATGACTTTTCTAATATTAATGATTTGTTTTAAATGTCAGCATATGTATTAATTTGGAGATACTAATAAATTCAGATAATTTAGCCAAAAGGTTTTTATCTTTGAAGCCTAGATGATTATATGATCAAGCTTCTCCAAGGCAGGGATTATGGATAGCTTCTTCATTATAGGTGAGCAATACCTTTTTTTTTTGAGTGGATGAAAGAACATAGTAATGGCACATTTTATTTTGTCTAGATTATCTAGTCTGGCCATCAAAGACATTTCAACTTCAGCAAACATAATTTGAGAATTGTTTTATGCCAGGCAGTGTGCTAGGAGCAGAGCACAAAGGAGAGAGAGGATACAGTCCTTTCCCTCTAGGACACATGTGTCAAACACAAGGCCCGCGGGCCAAATCCGTCCCGCCAGGCCTTGCAATATGGCCCGCACCGCGCTGTCATCACTGCACTCTGCTGCGTTTCCATCACAATGACAGTTTATGACTGTTCAGTAAACCATTCGGCCCGCGATTTAGGCTGGATTTTAGATTTTGGCCCCTTCTCTGATTGAGTTCGACACCCCTACTCTAGGAGTTCATAGTCTAAAAGCTATGCTAGAGGAAAGTGCAAGTGCTGCTGGAGCACGTCATTCTGCTGTGGAAACGGGGAAGGGTATCCTAGAGGAAGTGATATGTAAGCTGGTTTTGAAAGTTGAGTACACATTCTCCAGAATGGGGGACGGTCATGCTGGATAGTCCCTCAAATGCATGAAAGCAAAGTGAAACTAGATGCTGACCTTACCCAAGAGAGTCATAACTTAAGACATGACATCCTAGGTTTAAGTCATTACAAGACTGGTCAATGCCACATACCTCAGTTATGCTTGTATGTATTTTTTCAATTATGTTTATTTTTTTAAGTTTTTTTTTTTTTTTATACATTGATTTCAGAGAGAGGAAGGGAGAGGGACAGAGATAGAAACACCATTGATAAGAATCATCCATCGGCTGCCTCCTCCATGGCCCCTAGTGGGAATTGAGCTTGATACCTGGTCATGTGCCTTGACTGGGAATAGATCCATGACCTCCTGGTTCACAAGTCAATGCTCAACCACTGAGCCACCCTGGCCAGACCAATTATGTTTATATTCGATGAGCATATACCCACATTTTAGAACTTCTTTTGTACTTGCTAAATTTGATCTTTCTTAAAGAGGTCTAATAAATGCATGACATCATATGTTATTTTTCTGGCAGATGATGACTTATGAGTGGTATTTACCCAAGATGGCAAAGCATTTACCAGGTGTCAACTTTCCTGGGGACCGCTGGAATCCTGTGGAAGGAGTATTACCCAGTGGAATGGTCACATTTAATCTTTATCACTTTCTTGAAATAAATAAACAGTAAGCATTCTTTTAATATAATGGCTTTCCTAAAATCTTAAGCTGTTCTAAAATTGTTTATGTAGCAGCTGTGCTTCATCCAAAAGACCAATTTTCTACACCTATTTTCCTGTCACCGGTGAGATTATCTTTGTAATTAAATTGAATATCTGTGCATAAATGAGACCAGGCAGAAATAAACGTTATTGTTCTGGGTAAAGGAAAAATAAAGACAGATTAGCAAGAATAGCAAATAAGATCTTAGTACAATTCAGAGAAATTGGAGATGTGCCTCCTACTTGAAATCATTTCAGGTGAATCGCAAGCAATTATAGTTTCCCCCTGATCAACGCCATGGCTTCCTTTTAAGTGTAAAGGAAATGGTTTCCAGGAATAATCACATCACTACATAAAAATAGCTTAAGAATTTTTTATAAAGGATAAGGCATTTTTATAAATAAGGAAAACATCTACGGTTGTATTGGCTAAGATAACATGAGAATTATGAATTCCATACTTGAGAACATAAAATTATTCATAGTTAAGGTCAAGAATCAATAACTCCTCCAATAGTATAGTATTGAACATTTCTCCTGCCTGTGAAGTGCGTGCGATTGTCCAGAGTGCGAAGAAGAAAAACTTATTTCATAATTTTTAATCTCTTCTAAGGGGGACTTCAGAAATACTTTGTAAATTGCAAAGTTAAATTATCCCTTACTAAGAACATAATAATATACTTTTGGTGTTCAAAACCTGGAGTTTACTCTGGCTCATGAAGTAATATGAAGGTAATGGATATAAACATGCTGTGACAATAGCATTTAATTGTTCTATTTTGGATTAAAATTCTAAGCACCATTAACATCACCAAATAGGTATGTGTGTTTGGTATTTATTGGACATTTATTGACTATGCCATGTTCTAGCTTCTATTAGGCCCTGGCAATATAATGAGACCAGTTCCAAATTTAAGTAGACCACAGCCCAGTTGTATATAAACATGGGTACAAATACAACTGGCCATAATATGATAGGATAAGCTCTGTTCTAACAAAGCTTTCTCAAGTGTGAGACCCAGTAAGTGTTCAGCATGTGTCTCCTGAATGGGTGATTTAACTGACAGTATAAGCCAAGTGTTCTGGGAGCATGCTTGAGGAAGCAGTTAATTCTGCCTCGGGGCATTCGTTCAACATTTAATAAATATTGTGTGTCCAGCATGTCCAAACAACTGTACTAGGCATAGCTGCATGGATATGATCCCTGCTATTACAGTGTTTTCCGATACGGTTGCAGGATCAATCTTTACTATGAAACAGATATGCGAGAGCAAGAATACAAGAGTTGTTTTCCCTGTCAGCTTTCAAGAGTATTTGTCTTTCATTTTCAGGAGTTTGAGTATGGTGTACGTGGCTATGGATTTCTTTGAATTTAACTTGTTTAGGGTTTATTGAGTTTCTTGAATCAGTAAGGTGTGTCTTTTCCAAAATTTAGGATCTGACAGTCATTATTTTTTAAACATTTTTCTCTTCTTTTAGAATTATGATGATATGAATGTTTTTGCCCCACAGGCAGTTTCTTATAATGTTACAAACAGATAGGTTTTATCACTTATGTTGTTCACTTCTCCCGAGCCCTCCAAACAGCTTTTTTCACACTAATGTAAATTTCCAACAATCTGTTTGGGAAAGATGTAAATAAACTGAAATGGTTGCAACTGGCTTATTGGTGACTAGGGTTTAAGGAGTCAAAAACTATGCATCATGAGTTACATTTATTTAACAGTTAGAACTTTAAGGTAAAAATATTTTTTTTTTCTGTTTTCTATAGAAAAGAAACTTTTGTTTGCATAGGAATTCATGAAGGTGACCCAACCTGGCAAAAGAACTATTCACTTTGGCCATGGGGCTCTTGTGACAAATTGGTTCCTTCAGAGATTGTATTCAACCCTGAGGAGTGGATTAAACTTACAAGAAATATCTATAACTGGACTGAAAAATATGGACGGTACGAATAAAGTTATATATATTTTTCCAAGTATAGCAATTTGTGTGCCTGAAAGAACACTGTTTTGAGATGACTTTAAATTTTTCGGATACTTTTTATTTTTATTAGTTATTAAAATAGTCATTTGCTACCCACAAAGTATCATTATAGAGAAAAAAAACATGTATTTCTTGTCCTCATATTTGAAGAACAATGGGACAGTTGAAGGGAAAGGGAGGTTGTAGCTGAGTGGACATAATAGTTAGAGGCATGAAACTCCTGTAATGCATATTGTCTGCCAGCCTGTATCTCATATCCTTAAGGTGGAAGAGATTCATTAACTACGGCTAAGCTTTAAAAGCCACTCTGGGCCCTGGCCTGTGTTGCTCAATGGTTATAGAATTGGCCGTCTCGGGTTGTGGGTTCCATTCCCAGTCAAGGGTGTGTACCTGGGTTGCAGGTTCAATTCCTAGTCCTGGCTGGGGTAGGTGCAAGAGGCAACCAATTGATGTGTCTTTCTCACATTAATATTTCTCTCCCTCCCTCCCTCTCTCCCTCCCTCTTTCCCTTCTACTCTCTCAAAAAAAGTATGGGAAAAATATCCTTGGGTGAGGATTAACAAAAAGAAAGTCACTCTGTAGCATGTGATAGTTTCTACATCATACACTTGTCATATTTTCCTTTCTTCTAGAATGGCAGCTAACTTCTCTATAGGGAAGACTGGGCCTTGAAATTTTCCTCACAATTGTTTGTCATCAGCCTGGTTATGTTATTTTGGCATGCCTACTCTTTCTTGAAGCAACTTTCTCCCATTTGGAACCTGAGTCTCCATCTAAAGAAAGGCGCCTCCATTGCCTATGTTTAAAATACGAATTATTTAAAGATTAGATAATTATTGCTTGTAATTCAAGGACAATAGGCAAGATCATATGAAAAATGCTCTAAAGGATTTTTTAATCAAATTGAGCAAATGGACTACATTGCTATGCTCCAACCATTGCTATGCTCCAACCAGGTCGGTCTACATCAGAGCACTCTGAGACCACCGTGAGGAGAAGATAGAAAATAACCTCTTCTGTAAAGGACAGTACAAGGACACAATAGTGTTCAGTCAAAATGGATACATCAGAGAATGTTGAATTAAGAGAAGGAAGAAAATTAGTAAATAGTTTAGCCAGTGTTCCTTGAGCAGCATCTAGTTCCAGCAGTGAAGTGGCAAAGCCAGGAGTCCCTCCTCTTCAGGCCTGTCCCCTTACTTACCAGCTCGTTGGCTCTTAGCTGTGTCCATAGCGTGACTGAGGCCTCAGCCCTGCCCCTTCACCTGACGGTGACAGTTCTTAGAACAGCTGGCTCCCTAAATGCCTCCAGCCTCTTTCCACCAATCTTTTGTTTGCTCCCATGAGGCACTGGGGCTCATTATACAAGTTAAGAACACATTTACCAAAATTTCAAATTGCTAACAATCCAACTTTTCTAGGAGAATAAGTTTTTTATTTCAGTCTCTATTGGTACATCAAGATCCAGTCTATATATTTTTACCCTCCCCCAAGGATATTTTTTCCATTGATTTTTTTTTAGAGACTGAAAGGGAGGGTAGAGGAGGGGAGAGAGAGAAATATCGATGTGAGAGAGACACCTACTGATTGCCTCCTGCACAAGCCCCTATTGGGGGTGGGGTGCAAAGCTGAAACCAGGATATGTGCCCTTGACTGGAATCGAACCTGCGACCTTTTGGGCCACAGGCCAACACTCTAAACCACTGAGCAAACCCATCTAAGGCAAGATCCAGTCTATTTCATTTGCCTTGGAAGATTCTAAAAGACTAGAGGTCCGGTGCACGGAGAGAGGGTGGGAGACAGGGAGGGAGTCCCCTCAGCCCAGCCTGCACCCTCTCCAATTTGGGACCCCTCGGGCTGCTGGACATCCCTCTCACAATCCGGGACCACTGGCTCCTAACTGCTCACCTACCTGCCTGCCTAATCGCCCCTAACTGCCCCCCTCTGCTGGCCTGGTCACCCCCAACTGCCCCTGCTGTTCGGTCATTTGGTCATCACTCACTAATCCCCCTGCAGGCCTGGTCGGCCCACTCAGCCTGTTTGGCCGTCCATTTGGTTGCAATGTTCGCTTGGGCTTTTATATATTGTATATAGATTATATGTCCATAGCAATAAATGTGGCTGGCAGAAAAATGTTACTGTTTTCTTGTAACTACAGGTTTGATCCATCTTCTTGGGAATCTGTGGCCAATGAGGAGATGTGGCAAGCAAGGTGACTAATCTGCACGCCTGTGTTTGCGGCTCATTGTTAACATGGCAGAGAAGTAGCCTGTGGCACTTTTCATTGAGGAAACAGGGGTGGGTGGTGATCATAAAAATGACATTTATGGCAGTCATTTTGTTTGAGGCATTATACTAGTTTCATCCTCACAACAACCTATCTGAAAGTTCTTATTATCTCCATTTTACAAAAGATCACACTGGAGGTGGAGAGGGTGCTTGTCTGAGGCCCCTTAGCTGCTGCCAGTGCTGGATCTGACTCAAACCCGCACAACTCCTGTCCTCTCCCGCCTCAGCTAAGCCAGAGTGAGTGTGATTGAGGAGAAGTTGATAATGACCGTGCCCACGTATAAGGTTCTAGTTAGTTACTTAGGCACATATTGCATACTTCCTAGAGGCCAGGCATTATGCCAGACACAGAGATTGCACACGTGAATACAACATAGTTCCTACCCTCACACTGCTCAGACTATGGAGCAATCAGATATGTTAAAAGATCTGACTATGAATGTGCTTGATTCTGTACATTTCCGTTGTTCCTGTATGGAACGCTTCACTATGATGCTATTAATTCTCTTGGTTCCTGTCACTTAAAAATAATTCAAAGTACCTAATGCTAACAGACTTTGGCCTAAATATTAATGTAAAAGTTGTAAATGATGCAGATGGGGGTTGGAGGGTCCCACATACATAGGATGTACTTCCTGCTGCAAAGGAAGAAGCCCACTCCGGGCCAGGGACTGAGCTTTGCCCTGAGGCTTGACTGATGGTGTATAAAGGGTTTACTTATAAGTTTAAAGAAGTTTAAAAAAAATTGTCAAGAAATCCAGCTCCAAATTAACAATTATAAAAATAGATGTACTATAGTTTATGCAATAGTGTTTATGAAAATGTCAGAAAATGGCATATTTCAAGTTATCAGCCTAGTTATAGGGACAAATACTTTGCTCTGAAGAACTGAACAAAGATTAGTCATACATTTGCACAATTCTTCCCTATGATTGAGTGCGGGAAAGCTGGGGGAGCGGTCACATAAGAGAAGAAAGCAGGTTATTATCCGAGAGGGTGTTGATTTAATTGGTGTGCAGAATGCCATTTGGATGAGTTCGCCTGGTCAAAGAGTGCAGCCACCTCTGAGGAGCTGGGTACACACAGCCTGAGCCATTGCAACGGGCACCGAACTCAGCAAGTCCTCCGCTCCCCTCTTCTCTTGCGTAACAATAGTGCACATCTGGAGGGGAAATGATGTATAATAGTGGCGATGAACACAGCTTTTTTTCTAAAAGATCCGGCAATCAGTGTGAAAGCAGTGTCTTGGCAGTTGGGGAAAGAAGGGGTTACTGTTGGTTCAGAGTAAGCGTTTGAATCTGAGAGAAGTAGAAATGATGCAATAAAGGGTTTTGTATGTTCTCTATCAGTGGAAAAGTCTGGCAGATAAATTTGAAGTTGATGGCATGATTTTAATGAAGTGTTTTTCCTCCACCCTTCCAGGATGAAAACACCGTTCTTCATTTTTAACCTGGCAGAAACTGTGAATGTGCCTTCAAATGTGAAAGCTCAACTCTACACTCACGCATATGACGTATGATATACTTCTACATAGATCAGTATACTAGCGGCCTGGTGCACAAAATTCATATGCTCAGGGGAGAGGGGTCCCTCAGCCTGGCTTGTGTCTGTCCTCTCGCAGTATGGGAGCCCGTGGGGAGCAGGCCTAAGCCGTCAGTTGGACATCCTTAGCCCTTCTGCAGAGGCAGGAGAGTCTCCTGCCACCACCGCTGCACTTGCCAGTTATCAGCCCGGCTTTTGGCTGAGCGGCACCCCCCCTGTCCTCAGATGCTCAGTGCAGGAGCTGCCCCCTGGTGGTCAGTGTGCATTATAGCGACCAGTTGTTCTGTCGTTCGGTCTATTTGCATATTACCCTTTTATTATATAGGATTTGTTGTGAGGGTGGGAGTTGTTGGAATGGAGAGAGGGTGTGTCACAGAATTTTTACTTTTAGTTTCCAGCTTTATTTACCATTATAAAGCAGTGTAAATGGAAAAATATTCATGCATCACAAATAATATCTAAAGCAAATAGCTGTCATTGGCAAAATAATGGTCCCCCTAGAGATGTTCAAGTCTTAATATCCAGAACCTGTGACCCTTATATGGTGGTGGGACGTGGCAGAGGAAGATTAAGGATCTTGAGGTGGGGAGATTACCCTGGATCATATGCAGGTGGGCCCAGTATCCTCACAGGGGTCCTTAAGAAGAGGGAGGCAGGAGAGTCAGAGTCTGGGAAGGAGAAGGAAGTCAAAGAGGAAGATCTGAAGATGCTATGCGGGTGGCCTGGGAGATGAGGAAGGGACCACAGTTAGGGAGTACAGGCATCTGGAAAAGGCAAGAAATGGATTCTAGAGCCTGCTGATTTTACAGTACCCTTGATTTTATGACTTTTGACTTCCAGGAGTGTAAAATAATAAATTAATGTTGTTTTATGCCACTATATTGTGGTGATTTGTTACTACAGTAATGGGAAACTAACTTTATTTCTAAAAGGACTCTATTGCAGGAGTGATGACCCTGTGACACTTGAGATGACAGGGCCAGGGCTGGTGGAGAGTTCATGAGAAAGATGAAGGGGAGGAGCTTAGCTTTGTCTTCTGTGGTCCCAGGAAGCCAAACAAACGTTGAGACCCAACCACACTAAGGGTCTTAGTAGAACTTTGCAAACTTGATGAAGTGAAGAACAGGAACAGTTTCTGAGTACTTGCTCTGTACTGGGGAATGTGCCCCGCCCTTTCCACTTGTCCCTCATCAGAGAGAGGCTCAGGAAGAGAGAAAAGACTACGGGGAAAGGTAGAAAACATTGCCAAGTGAGGGCTGGCCCTGGCCAGGTAGCTCAGTTGGTTAGAGAGTTGTCCTGATACACCAAGGTTGTGGGTTGATTTGTAGTCACAGCACATACAAGAATCAACCAATCCTTACTAATAAAAGCCTTAGTGGTCATCACACTGTGATGCCCTCATGCCATTACAAGATGGCTGGGTGCACAGCGGGCCTGTGCAGGTGGGCAGGGCTGGGCTTGATGCTGCGAGCACGGCATAGAGCCTGCCTGGGAGCCCCGCTGCCTCCCAGCTCCAAATACAGAGCAGGGATGAGGCAGGACCCCTAACTCCCTAGGGGCCCCGCCCAGGGGTCCCACCTCCTCCCAGGTTGGTGAGGCCTGCCTGGAGGCAGACACCTGACTCTGGCCTACCTCTTTGAGGCAATCCACTGAAGACTCCTGGATGGGTGGGTGGGCCTACCTCTTTGGGGCGATTGATAGAAGGGCTCCCTCACTGTGACAGAGCACAGGCCTGGCTGGGGGACCCCACTCCCCACCCCCCAGTGCATGAATTTTGTGCACAGAGCCTCTAGTGAATTTATAAATAAGTGGAACAACAAATGTCTCTCAAATCAATAAATTACACAATTTTAATTTAAATGTTAAAAAAAAAAGCGAGGGTTAATTTCCTGCCTGGCTTTGGTGTATTTGAAAGTATATTTACAAGAGTGCAGGATGATTTTCCTGTTTTGTGAAGTGAAGGAAATTCAGGGGAAACTTGCTTTAAAAAGCAACTTAAACACTGAACATTATAAAATGTCAAAATGGCGTATCACGCATGGATTGCGGAAATTTTTATGTGGACACTACTTAAAAATAAATTAGAAATGCATTTGTCTGCTCTGGAGTAGGCATTGGGGAAATAGATAATATATTGGGTTCCTTTCAAGTGAGTGCTATGTTGAATAGAGTCGTTAATTCAGAAAGCACTTGTCCCTAAAGAAAACATAGTTGCTGTTCTGTGCTCTCATGGAGTCTGTAAACTCAAGTTCCTGTGGATCCCACTCCAACTTGACAATCCCAGGAAGGCTGAAATTCCCATGCAACAAGTGTAACCTTCCATTTTGCAGACACATACCTACTTTTGTTAAATTTTCATGTTTTCCCACCAGAAAACTGTATCAAAAATAAATAAATTCCAACTCTGTTTAATTAATACTACCTCTGGTGTTGAGAAATAAAATGTCTAATTCCTGTGGACAAAGCTTTCACTATCAAAATTGCAATTATAGGATACTAAGAAGACTTTTAATGTTTCACTCTAAAGATATCTCTTCAATTCTTATCATGCTTGGCCTTTTTGATGCTGGGTTTGTTTTAATATTGCTATTGTTATTACTCTTGTTTTAAAAGTACAGAGACATTTATGTAAGAATAAGGGACAAAATTGAAATTCCTTCAAGTTCTTTTCCCATGCAGTTTTCTAAAGAAAGTTTTTTTTTTTTCCTCCTCCAACAGCTAAATTTAGAGTTTCAAGCTTTTTGCCTAGTGAGTAAATAGCTTTCCATGAATTAGAACTAAATCTCTTTCCCGGAACATCTTTCTGCGGGAAGAGCATTTGTCCTGACGCAGTGCGTCCTAGGTTTCCTCTGCAACATCTGAAAAAGCCCAGAAGCAGTTTTAGACGGAGCACATTTGCCTCCTGCCACTGCAGTAATTACAGTGGCATCCTTGCATTTTCTGCATGGCCTGGCAATGATTAGATTCCTACCGCAGGCTGTTCGGATTTCTTTTTTCCTTGTGTTATTAATTCTTCTGTGTTTTCTGGTATTTTGTGGGGTAAAAAGTAAAGGGATAAGAATGAAATGCCATCATTTTTGCTATCTTCCAGCTTTATAAGGAGATTGTCTACTTGCAAAAGGAACACCCAGTGAACTGGCACAAGAACTATGCCATCGCCTGCGAGCGGATGCTGCGCCTTCGGGAGGGAGGCGCGGACCCTGAAGTCTTGTTATCGGAAACCATCAGGCATTTCCGCCTCTACACCCAGAGAGCGCAGAATGACCCGCAGCTGGCTGATATTTCAGCCGCTCTGAAGCACCTCAGAAAAGAACTGCAGAGTCTGAGAAACAGGAAAAATGCCTGAGACAGCACAATGTGGGAAACCTGCTTGTCATCCTGCTTCCAAAATGTTGAGGTCCAAAACTTTTCCTTCAGAGAAAAGAAACTGTATGAAAAATTGAAGACTTAAGTCACTTCCCAGATAGAAGTAATTAGGGGGTTGGGGGTAAGTAGGGTGATTATGACTGAATTATGTTGTTTATGCAAAATCTGTTTATCCCCTGTCCTCAAGTTAGCATTTCAGGGAGAAGCTTCTGAACATCCTTCCCACTTCCTCAACCTTTCACCTGATGATGTTGCTCCATTAGATTCTAAAAGAGAACGCACTCTCTTCATATACTTAAAATATTGACTGTGAATCTTCTAAGGGCCCTGCTTATTGGGATCAGTTTTGAAGGTTATATTCTTCAAACATTAATACCATACCAAAGACATTTTCTGTTTCCCAAAAGTGGCTTAAAAAAAAAAAATGGATCTTGTTATGCTGCAAGTCAGAATTCTTTTATTTTTTTGTTAGCTGTGGTTGTTACATAATTTCTTGTTTCAAGCTAAACACCAACCAGTGATATTTTGAAAAAAGTTGGGGTTTTATTCTCCGAAAGCACTGAAAAATAAAGTTAATTCATTGTTTGCTTTTTTTAGTCATGTAAACTGGTTGGTCAGTAAAAAGATTTTTTTTAGTTCCTTAATTTTATATTTATGCTTTGCTTCTGTTTGTGCTCATGAATCTGGGCCCAATAATTAGTAGGCTCCTGCTGCCAAAATGCAAAAAAAAAAAAAAAAGGCGGGGATTCGAGGGGGTGGAAGGGGAAATGGTTCAAGAAATTCATTTCTGTTACCAGCATCTTTTATACATATTACTAAAGAGAACATAGTAAGAAATGCAAATAATAGTTCTTTATTTTATTATGACAGTTAATTAATAGCAACCTGTTTTAATGAATAAAGTCACTCAGAGTCCTTCAGCACTTCCTAAGTAGAGGCCCGGATCCGTAGGGATTCTTTTCCCCCCGATTGTATAGCTCCGAGACTCCGAGCACTATATAGGCCCCTGTATAGAAATGCTCACTAATGAAGAGGGAGGGCTAGAGGCTTGTCTGCATTCAAAGATCACTGGTGAGTCATTCAGCGAGAAAAGGCCCCTTACCAGGAATAGTCACAGTTCCGTGGCATTGTACTAGCAAAAGGGTCTGATCAAAGGTCTCCCGTGGAGCTTGCATGGTTCCCTTTCATACGACGACCATAATTAAAACCACTAATTCTCTTTTAAAATGCTGCAGGATGCCATGTAGGCATCTGTCTGGAGTGTCCTTTGTGATGTCATAAGCTGTTAAGGACCAGCGCCGAGGGCTTTTGAGTGAAATGCCAGTCATGAAGGTGCTTCAAGACAAGGGTGCCTCTAAAAGCTTGACAGGGCCTTGACTGCACAATTCGAGCTGAATTTGCCCCTTGTCAGCTGCCAGTAAATAAATCCCAAAGGGGGAAAAGCTGAAGTTTCATTACCTGATCCGTGGGGCTTTGTCGGTTTTGGCACCACACAGAGGAAGCTCTTGCCCCTCCATTCTCTGGGTTTGAAGATGTCCATTGGAGCCTGCAGTGCCTGGACAGGGTTCAGAGCGGAACCTTTTGAAGAGTGTCAATAGTTGTAACAGTTCAGCTGTTAGGAAGACAAATAAATGGAGGAGCTCATTAATCCGCTTTTGGCTCTCGGTGCCTTTTGCCCTTTTATCACAGCCTTATTAGGCTCCTACTCATCTTGAACCAGAAAAAAATGAATTGAAGTTGTTGAGTACTAATTGGCAAAGACTTTTAATCATGGGCCAAGAACTTTCACTGACTTGAAAGTAACTTCTCCACGGGGAGGAACCGAAAAACCTGGTTTACCTTAAAACAAAAACCTGTTGGAGTTCAGCGTGGTGTGAAAATTGAAGGAAGCCTTGGCAAATGGTCTACGTTGACCCATTTGAAGGAAATTGTGTAAGATTATGATTTCCACTTTTCCAAAATCAAGTATAATAAAAATCATATAAATGTTCCCTGGAAATGCATTGTCTTTATTGGTTCAGAAAAGAGATTGCATGCATGAGATGTTCATGTTTGTTTCTGAACATCTATATGTACATGGTTGTAAATCTTTGAGCATCTACACATATATGTGGTGTTGAAGGAACTTTATTAAAAGTAGTATTTCCTACTTAGATCCTTAAGAATGGCTAATGAAGACATTTTCCTTCATATCTGCTTTTTCAATTTGTTTATATGCCGTATGTATATATACACACACATATATATGTCTATGTATATGTCTATGTCTATGTATATATACACACACATCTGACTGTGCTTTGTGTATTAACCATTGTCAAATGGTGCCCAGATTTTTCTGTAATTGTCCAACAAAGACTTTGGACCATTCCCTCTTTGAGAAAGCAATGATATAATGGCCCAATGTAGATAGGATCATAATTTTTTCAATTTTTGAAAGCCATCAGTAAGTGAAAAAAGAGCAAGCTGAGCTGAGATTTGGGCATGTTGGGCCTCATTCCCAGATCAACTACCTTGGAGAATCCTTTCTCTCCATTGCACGAGGTTAAACAAGTTGCTTTCTTTTTTTCTCTTTCTCTCACTTTTCCTTGGCTGGTGCACAAACACCATAACATCTGACAGAAGGGGTTTCCTTCGGTCCAACCCCTGACGTGGAAGACAATGTGAAGAGGTGACTTCTCATGCGGATTTGGCTGGCATTTTCCTCGCAGTGTCCCCGGAGTGCCAGGGGTTGGCAGGGCGACAGAAACCCCACAAGGCCAACTTCTGCCTGGACTTTGGCCTGAGAAGCCAGTGGGAGCGCGCAAAACTGTCTGCCTGTCCACATGCTGCCGTGCTCTGCTGCCCGGCCCGGGGTTGTCACTCACCAGGGCGAGTGGAGAAGGGGCTGTTCGGCCCATGTTCAACCAACCTCCTCCCTGCCCTGTTCCTGCTGACGGGAGGTGTGCTTGGTTCTTGATATTGACTTTGGTTCCTTATTAAAGGACCCAGTTTAAAAACAAACAAACAAACAAACAAACAAACAAAAAACTCTTTTATTCTATTATAATGCAGCCAATATAGAAGGGAATCAATTATTAGTGTGCTCTTTTGGAATCCTCAAATAAAAATTAGGAAGTGTTATTTCTGTCTATATTCTTAGTATTTTCTGGTGATAGAACCATGATGGTTAGCCTTTATGATAATGAAATACAGCCCATTTTGAGTGCCAGGGTGTGTTTGATACCTTAACAATAAGATATAAAAAGGGGTGGTTTTTTTTAATTTTATTTAGATTTTAAAAGTTAAATAATGAGTTCTTAATCATAGTTCCCACCAGTATTTCTCAGAATTTACAAATGTTAGTACTTTTAATACTAAGGAAAACAATAGAAAAGATTGGGGGCAGAAGGGATAGAACCTGTTACAGCAAATCCTTTTCCTCTGTTTTAATTCTGGTGTGTTTTACAAATGCATCACGATGGGTTATTACTTAAAATTCTGTTCTAACTGGCTCCAAGCTGTATGGCAGATAAAGAAAAATATTCCCACCCAATAAGAGATCACACTGCTTTTATTCATTCTCATATTTTGTTGTGGAGGCAAAACCATTCTAAGGCTTATACTCACAAACAAATAAGTGATGTTTCCAGGGGTTCTGGAAACATCTAAAGGCCAGGATCTTGGCACAGCATTACAGAGCAAACAGGGAGCCAAAGCTCTGAGCAGCGATCATATTCGATGAAGACGTCATTGTCAGTACCGTCGAAAGGTCTGTTTGGTTTGGATTAGCATGGATGGTGTAAAAAGGCCTTGGGAAAAGCAGTGTGCTTACCTGGATATAGGAAAGTAAATGAGTAGGACTATAGCTTGAGAAAGGAATTTTTCCGGGAAAAAAAAAATCTGATTGCTTTTCAATGATGTAACATATATTTGATGGAAATTGTATGTACTGGGAAAATTACTTTATGTCACGTAGGAAAAAAAACAGAAAGGTGGGGAGGATGGGTAGAAGTTCCCAAACCATAACCATGAAACCCACAATTATTGGCCTTTCTATACACAGTGATCTGGGTCTTTTTCGCAATCCTACATATGACTGGCGAGGCTTTTCGGTAGTATAAATATTGTGGCTTTAAAAAAGTCAAGTTGGTAAGGTTGAGAAAGTTTCAAGATACAGCTAGAAAACACACAGGCAAATAACTGCTTCACATTCCCATCCCAGTGACCCAACTTCACAGAGCACCCACTTGATATCATGTCTTTTTGTTCATAGCTGTCATCACAGGAGGATAATGTCAGATAAGGTTGAATGAAAGAGAAGTAGAAATAAGCCAGATCTCAGGTTTAATAATTTTGTTTAGATTTTTAAAAATCCTCACCCTAGGATATGTTTATTGATTTTAGAGGGAGGGAGGGAAGAAGGGGGAGAACGAGAGAGAGAAAGAGAGAGATTGAGAGAGAAAGATGTATGAGAGAAACATTGATCAGTTGCCTCCCATATGCTCCTGACTCAAACCAGCAACCTAGGTATGTGCCCTGACCAGATGAGGTAAACTTTTTGGTGTGTGGGATGATGCTCCAACCAACTGAGCCACCTGGCAGGGCTAGAATTTCTTATAAATCTGTATAAATAGTATTGGAGGGAAAAGTATGATTGATGGAGTACAATCTTTATATTGTTAAGTTCATTAAATATTATAAATTTGTAAATGGAGATTATGTCCTGTTTTTTAAAACATACACACAAACCACAATTATTTTCTACTTAGAAGTATTACTAGGAAATGAGTTATTTTGTAACATAACCTTTTATTTATTTTATTTTTTTTTTGTTATATTTTATTGATTTTTTACAGAGAGGAAGGGAGAGGGACAGAGAGTTAGAAACATAGATGAGAGAGAAACATTGATCAGCCGCCTCCTGCACACCTCGCACTGGGAATGTGCCCGCAGCCAAGGTATTATACAAGCCCATGACTGGAATCGAACCTGGGACTTTTCAGTCCGCTGGCTGACACTATCCATTGAGCCAAACCAGTTAGGGCTGTAAGGTAACCTTTTAAAGAAGATATTTTGAGATTTCTCTGATCTACATGAAATAGTCCCAACGGCTGAACCATGGAAAATATCCCTAACCCTTGTGGCTGTTGCTTATATACAAAAGTGCGTGTGATTAAAGAGAGGGAACCCTGCTTGAAAAATCAGACCCAGCTTTTTCTTCCTTGGATTATGGTCCGATGGGACCTACGAGAAGCACCTATTACTTAGACCCTTGAGTATCATCTAAGACAGAAGAGATCCCGGTAACACCCTGGCATGCCAAGACTTAACTCAGAAAGTGCCACAGAGGCCCATCAAAGATTTGAGGACAGAGTGAAGGATTTGAGGACTACAGTCTTCTTACAGTATCTTCCATCAAAACAGAGGGAGGAAACATTATATAATTTTGTATTCATAATACATGTGTAATTAATAATTGTATTATTACCGGTGCTCTTAAAGGTTAATATTTTAAAAATCAAGGATTCTTTCGAAATACTCTAACAAAAATTTTTAAATGGGTGGTTTAAAAACAAGATAATCCACTTAGCACAAACACTAGGGTCCCTTTGATTAGAGAATACTTATACTGAGAGGTTATTTTTATTTAATGCATCATAATTTTTCTCTAAAATTATAGCATATTTCTTCAATATGTGTGTGGACTAGCATCTACACCATTTTTATAACTTTTTTTGGTGATCAGAATTTTGACCATGAACCTATGTGATCACTCACTTGGCAGCAGGCCCTCAAAGTGCAGGATTGTGCCCGGCTGAGGTGACTGTGAAATGGGTTCAATTTAGTGGAAATTGAACAGATTTTCTTAGTGAACTAAAATAATACAATAATGCATCTGAAATAATAAGGCTAAGTATTGCTTCATGAAACTCATTCACATATTAATATGAATGTGTGTGTGTGTGTGTGTGTGTGTGTGTGTGGTTGTATGTATTACATGTGTAGTTGTATACTACACATACGTTGGCCTAGCAGAACTTCATCCAATTTTATTAAATGTTAATGCCAAAAGGGCTAGTAAGGGTTCACCTAGTATAACTAGCATGACTAACCTAGTTTAATAGATGAAGAAGCTGAGCCCTGCACTGAGTAAGCACCTTGGTTAATGTCACACAGCCAGGCAGTGCAGAGCTGGTCCCAGAACACATGGTTTTTGGCTCCCCTCTCCCATCACAGCTAAATGAAACCAGCTACTTCTACTACCAACGTTGTCACCTTAAAGTCCCCAAATAATACGGACAGGTTAAAATTATGATAAACTTTTCTAGAGGTAAATGGTGTGTGAAATCAGGAACTATGTCATAGGAAATCCATGCACCAAACTTCTTTCTTTCCTCCACCAAATCTCCGGAATGCAATTTTGCTTTTTCCCTTTGTTTTCAGAGGAGCCAGTTACATCTCTAGCTTTTTGTTGATGTTGATCCTCACCCAGGATATCTTTTCCATTGATTTTTAGAGAGAGTGGAATGGAGGGGGGGAGCAAAATATTGATGTGAGAGAGACACATAGATTGGTTGCCTCCCGCACACATCCCTACCAGGGCCAGGCTAAAACCAAAGTACATGCTCTTGATCCTGATTGGAATCTAACCTGAGACCCTTCAGTCCACAGGCTGACTATCCACTGAGCCAGACCGGCTAGGGCACATCTCTAGGTTTTTGTTTGTTTGCTTGTTTGTGTGTTTTTTTTTAATTTATTTATTGATTAAGGTATCACATATTTGTCCTCAACCCCTCATTCCAATCCCCCCCCCCTCACTCATGCCCCTACCCCCCTATTGTTCTCGACCACTTGTTAGACTCATATGTGTGCACATAAGTCCTTTGGTTGATGTCTCCCTTTTATTCCACCCTCTCTTTGAGGTCCAACAGTCTGACCCATGGCTCCTTATCTCTGGGTCTGTTCCTGTTCATCAGTTTATGTTGTTCACCATTTCCCCTAGATGAGTGAG